AGGATTATTTTGATCCGAACCACGTTAAATCTTGTGTTCTTTCTTTTTACGTTTCCGCTAACATAATTCTTTTTGATAAATTCCCTTTTATAAGGTAATTAGTTGTTAACTTCTATTTTAAGAGTAGTGGAGCAGAATCCCAATGTTACAAGAAATCAAGCGGTTGAAAAAATGGTACAACTTTTGACTTATAGGTGTCATGGCACCAATTAGAGCTATATGGATGAACTTCGTGTGATTGAGCACAAATAGTACTGTTATGCACTCCCTTCCTCTTTTGTTTGTCCTTGGTTTGCTCTTAGACATTTAGAACAAAACTTGTCTTCAGGCTGTGCAGCAGTTTGGGACTGACTTATCCCTGATACAACAACTTTTTCCTGGCCGGACACGTAGACAGCTAAAGCTAAAATACAAGAAAGAAGAGCGGCAACATCCATTTAGGCTTCATGATGCTCTAACCAATCGTTCCAAAGGTAAATTTTCTTCAACTCTCTCTACTGCACTTACATTTATTTATTTTTCGAAGACTCATTTATCATTTGATAGCATTTCGTTTAAATGGGCATAAAATACAATTTGAAGATACATTGGACAAATGAATATCATGTTTTCAGAGAAACCTTCCATTAAGAGTAAGGTTTCATCAGCATGGAAAACATGACTTGGGTGTGGCTGAAAGTATACATGCATAGCCTGTTGTTATGGCTGATCCAAGTCCAGAAATGAATTGGATCCTGACTTATCAAAAGAAAAAAAAAGGAAAAGAAAAAGGAATTGCAGCCTGGATTCATATTCCATAATTCTTTTCTTTTTTCCTCTTTTCATGTATTTGTCTTGTGATCCTCTGATCTCAGTCTACTGTATCTGTGTATGTCGAATTCTCCTCTCCAATGATATATGCATGATCTGATGTTTCGATATCTTTTATTATTTTTGATATTTTTCAACATGGTTTATGCGTTTTAGTCTCCAGAATTGAAATTCTAGATCTCCTCATGATGCAGCTTTTTTCTTCTGCTCTATTTTCGTTGATATTAGTCTTGTATTTCATCTTGTTTGACCACAGATCAGTACTAAAGAACTGAAATTTGGATATTCTGAAAATTCTATCTTTATTTCATTTTGCGAATTGCTACTTTATGGTTCCAAAAAATGTAAACAAGGCCAGGTTCCATCCTACGTGGACTGCAGGAACATCATACATGTTTTATCATAGTTTCCACAATTGAGCTAGTATTACGCTTGTTAACTTGTGGACATGCTATGTATGTATTTTTTCAATTGAATCTCATAATCTGAGTTTTAGTTTAGACAAAAATGATCTTGATATCCTGATGATTCAGTTTCAGGAAATTGTTTATTTAATGTAACGATGATCTCATTATTTGTTTTTTTTTCTTATGTGTCTCTCGCTTGACCAGACCACCATTAATGGGGTTCAGAAGCACAGTAACTACTCCCCTAAACTTTGCTTTCTGTTTTATTTGGAAAACATATTGATATCTTATCTTGATTTGACTTTTACTGTAGCCCATAATCATTAGTATATTTGTGAAATGTCTAAAGGCTAGAGTTATTTAACCACCATGCATCACGTAAGTTATCCGTGTCATCGGACCAAGGAAAAAGAACCATTGGCCTGAAGAAGAGAAAGCCTTTGCCACTAAAATGTGTCATGTTTTCTAATTGTTCTGCGGAATTTTACATGATAATATACTTGTTGCAGATCATTCCCACTTTGAACGAGTAATTGATCGTTTAAAACAAATTGAAGCCGAGGAATTGCAGAAAGCCGATAAAGATGAGTCAATTGACTTGACAGGGGAGCAGGAAGTGGAGGAGGGAACTCAGGAGATCAATGTATGAATCTTCTCTTGCTTGTCATCTGTTTTTTTGTTTTTTGTTTTTGAAACTGGTAAAGTATTATATATATTAATAACAGAATCCTGGTACTAAGTTGGTACCAGATAATTACAATGATTGGAACCTTCTACACCAAAACAAAAAGAAATGGTTCCATCTATACAAAAGTTCTAATCCCGCAGTGAATCTAATAAATCAAGCATGCTATTCTCATCTCTAACATCCTCTAGGTTGCACCAAAAAGCCATGCACATGAGTATTTAATTTTCTGTACAACTTCTATTTTCCTTTCCAAGCATTTGCATTCTTCTCTTTCCATATTGCCCAGCACACACAAGCTGGGATGTTGTTCCATATCTTTCTTACTGATTGATACATCCCTCAACTCCCCAGATGTTCAATAGATCCTTCACTGGATCTGCCTTGCCACTGTGCAATGTGAAAAAAGGTGAGTAGTGTTTTTCTCCTCCTTGTTGCACATGAAACATCTGATATCAGTCGACACTCCTCTTCTCTGTAAGTTACTTTGAGTGAGGCACGCGTTGTGTGTAACTATCCTCATGAAACCTCTAAACTCATCGGGGGCTTCGAACTTCCATATCCTCTTCCAAGTCCAGCCTGTAGAGCTGCCACCATCACTCTTGATAGTTTTATAGCAAGAAGTTACGAGAAAACACCATCTATCTGCTTTGTCCATATGATTCTATCAGGAACATCATCATACATGACCACCTTCCCTAAATCCTTTAGCATTAGAGCCATTCTAGGGACTTACCAATCAAAACAGTATCTACAAAAATCAAGGCACCAGTTGCTTCCGTTCCAAGTTCCAACACTCTAAAACCAGAGAACCAGTACTATAAGAGAAATCATAGAGATCATGATATTGAGACAGTAGAGGGGCATGCCCTACCCAAGCATCTTGCCAGAACCTCGTCTGCCTGCCATTTCCAACTTTGATCCTTGTTGACAACAAAACTAGGCCATAGGCTGCAGATGTGTTTCCATAGTCCCAATCCATGAGATGAATTAACAGGGCCGGAAAACCAGAGAACCAGAGATTTTGTATACCATATTTGTCGGGTATAAGCCTTCTCCATAAGTTGCCCCTCTTCTTTTCCATATCTCCACAACCACTTCGTTAATAAGCTATCATTGTGAATTTTCAAGTTTTTAATACCCAGTCTTCTTTTGCCAAGCTTCACCTTTTCCCACTTTACCAAATAAAAGGACCTCTTTTCTTTGTTACCTCCCGACAAAAGTTCCTCCAAATTCTATCAATATTCTTTTTAACACGTACTGGCAAGGGAAACAAAGACATAGGGTATGTAGGAAGAGAGTCAAGAACACTGTTAATGAGAGCCACCCTTCCTCCAAGAAATAAGTAAGATCTTTTCTACGTAGCAAGTCTCTTTTCACACTGATTGTCAATTTTTCACTACACCTGTTTTGCCTTGTACCTAGCCCCCAATGGCATACCCAAATATTCGTAAAAATAGCAGAGACTAGCCAGTTTTCGGACTGGTTATTCAAAAATAGCCAGCATTTGCAAAGTCATTGAAAAATAGCCACTATTTTGCTGCAACACGAAAAGTTCCAGCGTAATATACTGGAGATCGGTGCACCTATGTATGAACTTCCAGCATATTATGCTGGAACTCCAACACTCCAATCTCCAGTACCAGTATATTATACTGGAGTATTTCCGGATTTTGAACAGTATTTTCGTTCAGATTTATCTTTACATGAAAAGTGGCTAAATTTCGATCACTTTTGAAACTGTGGCTATTTTTGAATGACCATTTGTAAATTTGGCTATTTTTAAATTTCTCCCCAGATATTCTGTTGGAAGCTCTCCAATTTGACAGCCCAAGACATCTCCAAGTCCCTGTATGTTATGTACCTCATTAACTGCAAACACGGAACTTTTTCCCATGTTTATTTTCAAGCGAGAGATCATTTCAAATAATAGAAGAATCACCCTGAGATACCTTAATTGAGAGATCTCCACTCCATCGTAACCCACAGCCCCAGCACCAAAACCCTTGATCCACTGAAACCTCATTGCCTTTCGCATCATTGAACTCCATTGCCTTAAGCCTCTCGGCAATGGAGGAAAAAGCCTTTGGGAGAACCTTTTATAATCACTGAGAACCTAACATTTGCGATGCAACACTTTATCCATCCAATCCACTTGTCCCTGAACCCCATATCTTTCAGCAAGCCTAATAAATGCGCCCAATTAACACGATCAAACGCTTTTTCATGCCCAGCTTGCACATTAACGTCGCTTCCCCTTGCTTCCTACTGTCAAGACACTTATTTACTATAAGCACCGCGTCTGTAATTTGTCTCCCCTTAACAAAGGTCATCTGAGAGTTTGCAACCAGAATGTTCATAACTTTCTTCATTCTCTGTGCCAGCATTTTTGATAAGATCTTGCAGATGCTTCAATTTGAACTTATAGGCCTGAAATTTTTCATCTCCTCTGGTCCAACCTTCTTGGGGATAAGAGCAATGACATAGCATTATATTTTTTTTTCCCCAATTTCCTTATTCATATATTGAAGCATTATTTGATTTTGCACAGGAGGAAGAAGCGAATTCTGAACATGTTGAGGAAAAAGAAGTTGAAGCTGTGGAGCAACAAGATGTTCCAGAAATGGAGAGTCCAGTTGAGAACTATGATAGTGAAGATGATTCTTGGAGATGGAGTCAGTATAAGAGTGAAGTGTGAATATTCAGAGAGAAGGGTGTCAAAAAGAATTAAGATATATACACTGGTGGTGATAAAGAATTTTGCCATTTTGGTTGGATAAGTTATTTGTTGTTGTAGGTTAACTTAAACCTTCTTTATATCGTCACTGCGCATAATTTATACTCATATACATATTAACTTTAATGGGTAAAGCTAAAATCCTCTCATATCCTGTGGCCGCTGCTGAAGATTGAAACTCATTACTAAGTGAAGGAATAAAACGGGATTAAAAAATGGGTTTTTATGAGAAATTAAAAAGTGGAAAGAATGAAATAACAAAAGCATTCCTCTTATAGAAGTCTGTTGTCCTCACTTGTTTGATATAACGAAATTCTCTATTTATTTGTAACTAGTTCGCCAAAATTGGTTGAAAGTGTTCTTAAGTTGCCCAAACAACAAACTTCTTTGCTATTTTCTGACTCACTTCTAGGTTGTTTTTCATCATTAATGTTAACACTAATTTTGGTCAATTACAATTTTTTTTTCGAGAGTAAGAATCTGTTCTTTCAATACGAACCTTGTGGCAAAACGAAGTGAAGGTGGTTTACGTTGTACCCTAATCGTTTCCTCCAATAAGAATTCCCATCTTTTTTCTAATCAAATAGTTAAGAATCAATTTATCAATTAATAAAAAATGTATTGTTCTCTCATGATGATAAGTGAGGCCGGGATTGGATTGAGAAATTATGTTCCACAAATAGGTTAAAAAAGGGCAAAATATCACTCATGTTATAAATGTCTATCTTTTAGAGAGATTTTAGAGTTTGTTATTTTGTGGCTAAGTTACTTTTCCCCTATGAATAGAGGGGTTCTATTCCATTGTAATGCATCCCAAATCAATAAGTAACTCCCTCTTTCAACTTTTCTCCGTAATACTCATCTTCTTATTTTATAACACGTTATCAACACGAGACTCTAACCAATTGAGTAGATGACCGTTTGTTTTAATTTGAAAATATACTATTAGTTAATTGTCTAATATTTGAGAAATTAAACCATATGTAGAGAGAAGATATAGAAATTTGCGTGAGGCTATTACGTGAATGCATTGATATTCCTATACTAGGCATCTGCTTTGGTCACCAGGCTTTGGGATACTTGCATGGTACTTAACTTGTACATAATATTAACCATAATGATTGTCAATTGTTACATGAACTCCCTCCAGGAATAAATTCTTGATTTAAAGTAAGCATTTTACCTTGTTTTTCTCTTTTAAATTCCTGAAATTCTATAATTTGATTTTAAATACAAGCAAAGTCAATAAATTTTCATTATAACTCTAATAGAGTTTGTAACCACCCGAAGTAGTAAAATTTCTATGTCTTACCATGATCAAATTCATGTATGATTATGAGCACAAGAAGTAGAAACCCATCCCATTGAATTTGCTTTATTCTCGTTCCCTTAAGAGAATGTGGTAGCAGTATGTAATAAATCTGAAAGAAAATAAATTATTATTGTGAAAGTATCAATGGATGTGGATGTAAAAATATACAAAATTATAATCGTCATTATTGTGATAATGAGAACAATAAGGATTCTCAAAATAAAGTAATATATGTCATCGATTTGACATGATAATGATTATGGCACATTCATGATGTGAATGTAACAACATACGATCTATGAATACATATTCATTCTTGGAAGAATATGAACATGCTAGTGGTAGTGAATATACCACACTCATCTCTAGATGGAGGTTTAAGATGAAATAAGAAAATAATTTTATTATTATGGCATGAATGGACACTGATAATATACCTATTGTGATTATGACAAAATATTATGGCAATGTGATTATTACAAGGCAAAAGTAATGAAAACAACATATCTTGCCTATATTAATGATTGTGACCATGACCTTAATGGTATAACTTTCTCCTTGAAAGAGATATTTACCATATGGATGCTGATGAATATGTGGTAGTACAAAATTAATTGAGAGATTTGGAAGAGCCAATTATACTAATTTGGAGAAATAAAATTGATTATTAATAAGACATTGTCTTGTAGTAAGTCTCAAAGAAACTTATTGAGTTTCTAAAACATTCGCGATAGCGATTGGTTATATTGAGACTATAAATAATGAGAAGATTTAACGTCTTTATATTACTACAGCTGTAACAGGGTAATATGTATATGAAAACTACCCGCTTTATTGCCTGATTTGTACTACACAAATAAAAATATGGTGAAATTATATGACATGGTAAACTGGATATTTATTAATATAAAAACCTATGTCATAGTAAATTGGGAGTTTAATTAACAATTGCACATGTCATGATGTAAACCTGAAGTTTACTGATACAACAATTTTATCAGGCATGGCCTATTGAGCAATTTTAATTTAAGTATGATGTGCAAAAATAAAAGAGAATTCACATAGGTAAATATTAAAGAACTAGAAAGTTCTTTATGAATTCTTTTATGTGTTTGTTCTCATTAATTAATAGACAAACTAAAATTAGGATTGAATCCCATGAATGCTGGAAATATCAAAAGTAAATATTACACCATTCACCTACCATGCATACCACATAAGATGTATCTATGAGATGGTTACATGTGCGATTATTATTAACCCACAACTTGGTATTTGCGAGGTAACTTGTTCAATAATTAATTTAGAGTATACTTTCCAGATTTTATATTCAAGACAGTACATCTTGATAAGTTGGTTTACATTACAGTTGATTTAGCAAAATAATTTATTGAGTATCTTCACTTAATAGTTAAACTATTGCTTATGTGAACAAAGTTATCTATATCAATTTGATATACATTATATACGAAAGTAAACTAGATTCTCTCCTCACAAGTGGTTTAGGATCAGGAACCAAATAATTATATCTTATTATTACTAATGTGTGGTGTATATTTTGGTTAACACCATGATGCACAAAGGTGGGTTTCCAAAGTTGAGGAATCAAGTTAGTTTTTCTAACATAAGGGGGAGACAGGATAAACAGTTGAGAAAAAGTTACGTGGAATGAATTATCATTTGTGCATCTAAATCCTCGAATAAGATAATATGAAATTGAAGTTCATAAAAAGATAATTCATCTGCAATATCTTGCAAAGCACGCCAGAAGCATTTGCTGACCCAAAGAAAGCAACTATATTCTCACTACAAATATTCCTATTAGAATAAGTCCTAGAAGGATAAAGTCTATGGTACACCCTTAAAGCGTATAGACAAATCGGTTTTAAATAAAATTCTTGATAAAGAAGATGAGCAAACGATCATGATAAGGAGGTAAGTGATTTAGAAGATCACATGATATAATATTTCATAAAATCTCAAAAGAGGTTCAGGTTCCTGAAAATATGAATGAAAAGATCTCTATGTTATGTCTTTATGAAAAAAAAAGAGGTTGGAACCGATATAAAATCTTTGTCAACTACATCTATGATAACGCTAAATATATATGAGGGTCTTAATTCTGGAGAAACAATTCAAGTAGAATTGGTTGCAAATGAAAGACATGTAGTTTTGGACTTGCAGTTCAAACACTTAAAAGTATAAAGTCAATGGTGTGTGCAATCACTTTTATCTATCTTATATGTTTAGCATGCTATGAAAACTTGATATGCAACTAAAGTCTATTTATATAGCTTATATATACTAACTTATATGACAATCATTGAAGGATTTAAATTGCTTAAAGCATATACAATTCTTGGTCCTGAAGTACCATATTCTAAGTGCAATTTGTGTATATATGTATCTTGCTATAACTATTAGCATGATAATATGATCTCGAGAATTTTTATCTCTATGGAGATATTGAAAAGGCCATTCTACGATATTATATGAAGACATTACATATCTATCAAGAATGATAATTTCAAGGTGCAGCATATTCATTCAAGTTTTTGTTTATCAAATCTTTACCAACGGTCTCTTGAAGATGGTGCACAAGATTGGAATGCAAATGCTCAAAGATGTGAATTGATTGTCTCATCAGGGGGAGTTAATACGTGTTGATATTATTTTTTCCTTACAATGTTTTGTCCCACTAGATTTCCTTGCAAGGTTTTAACGAGGAAATCAAAAAACCAGTGATAAAAAAAGCGAGCACTTCCTCACTTTAAGTGAGAAGCGAAGCGAAGTGGAAGGGTCAGCCCTTCTACCATTAAAAGTTTGGTATGAAAAAGCGACCGCTTATATGTAAAAAGCGAGAAGCGGTGAAGCAAGAAGAAGCGAGCCAAGCGGATGCTTTTTTAATTAAAATACCCAAATCGCTATTTAATTTAAAACTTGGTATTCTGTTTTAGTCTGGACTCTGGACTTCTTCGACTTCTTCAGCAGCGAGAAACTAGGGTTCTTCAAACAACAACAACGATTTCTTCCTCTCTTCTTCATTAACTTCAAGCAGCGATTTCGCTTCTTCAAACTAGGGTTCTTCTTCTTCTTCTTCTTCAATAGTACAACAACTTTCAAGTTTCAATAGGTATGTTCTGTACTTTTTATTCTCATTCTTCTTCTTCTTCTTCTTCTTCTTCTTCTTATTCTTATTCTTCTTCTTCTTCTTTTTATTTTTTTTTCTTTTTCTTTCTAAACATCCAAAAAGTAGTGAAATGTTGGCGAATTTTTTTCAGAAAAATTTTGCCCAATTTTTCCAGTTTCTGCCCAAAATTTTTGCCCAATTTCTGTCGAATTATTATATCTTTTATTCTTAGTTCTTATTGCCTTTATTATGTGTTATGTAGTTGTTCTTTTCATGGCACCAAAAGAAGATAGGAAAGACCCAGCTTGGGCTTACTCTGAAAGAGTTAACGAGACTAACAAGATGGCTATTAGATGTCTTTTTTTGTGATAAGACTTCAAATGGGGGAATCTATCGCCAAAAAGCGCATCTAATCGGTGGTGATCCGAATGTCGCAGCTTGTCCTAAAGTTCCGGGGCATGTGAAGGAAGAATTGAAAGCATACCTTTAAAAAAAAGAGTTAAAGACTCAAATGATTCATGAACAAGAACTTTATAATCTTGATGATGATGATGATGAAACAGAAGAAGGTGACGATGCTTCATCGCTTCCACCAAAATCACAAAAGCGGGGAAGGATGCTTCCACCAATGTCTTCTAGTTGTGGATCTACTGGCAAGACCAAAGGTCATATGGATTGTTACTT